GAAAGGTTGGAATATCTTTAATACAAGAGAGAAAAATATATTTAAATTTTGTATGATCAATTTTGACCAATGAAAGTACGTTACAAACAAACTGGTTTSACTGGTTTTATTACATACCATAGCTTCATTGATGATTACTTTGGTAATAAATAACTTGACATTRACATGGGTATCATAGTTAGTGAATTTAGAGTGCAGTGCCTTCATCCAAGCTGGCATTTCCTAGACAATACAATACAACACATAAGAAAGTTTTATGTAAGATCACAAGTTGTTGCATGTGCATGTACATGTACGTACCTTTTCTGACGATGGTCCATCTTTACTGAGATGTTTGATGATAGCACATAATTTTCCCATGCATTCATGCTGGTTTAGTTCRTCCATCTCAACTGTTTCTTCCACTGATTCACGTGCCTCTTCTTCTTCCTTTAGCAACAAAAACATTCACATTGACCAAGTTTTGAGATTCCTGTTTATAAAAACAAGGTGTACCTTTGTGCCCTCCTGTTTCTCCACTGGAGCAGCATCAGTGATATCTGTAGCTGCAAATGCCTGGTAATAAAGGTTAAAATGAGATTCTGGGGGATTTCAAATGATTTCTTATGCATTTTCAAGAGGAGCCGACAGATTAATTCCTGGTAAAAATATATCTGTTCTTATGTCCCAGCCAGCTGTAAGTCACAACTGGTTGCCAGAAAAGTTATAACACATTCCGAAATATATTTTTTTAATCACGGAGAGGAATAGGATCTAAGAATTTTACCAGGAAACTCTTCACAACCTTTTTAGTAGGAGGGAAAATGCCGAATATCTCTTAAATACTCAAATGCTTTAACGGCCGTAAGTTAGAGTTTTTTTCCAATTTAAGTAATGCCCCGAGTAAGAACTAGGGAAGCAAACGGCACAGGAATGCAAGAAGGTGCTAATTGCGCATTGTATAATCCATCCATCCCATTGGTTAAAACATGAAAATCTGCTATAATTTCCCAAGTTAGCGAATTTTCTAATATTATATTTAATGTCGTTTTTCGCTTTCATGAAAGCTTTCTTTAGCTTCAATATTAAGGCAATTCTACGTGGGGAACATTGCAAATTAGAAGCATCTTTTAGCTATTGTCTTGAGTGCTTATGATTGGATAAGAGCTTTTAATACAAAAGAAACTTTGTTTCAAAATAGAGTTTATCCACATTTTATTTCAAAAATGTGTTACCCACAAATGGATACATAATCAGTGTGAAAACCAAGACATTCGTACATGGGGAACTTGCTATGCCGCGCAACAATAGAGAGCTCCCTAGTTCTTACGTGCATTGTTACTTAATATTCTAGTTCAAAATGACTTTCTCGGTCGGCTCCTCCTGCATTATAGAAGTGCAGCTGGTGACATATAAATAAACATACCTGTATCGGCGTAGAAAAGTCAAATTGACTGACTTCTTCACTCAGACTACTGTCTGCAAGGTATTGTGAAGACATGTAATGCAGAGAACGACCTGGAAAACACAATGACTTAGTTAAAAATATAAAATAATATAAAATCAATCAAATTATTACAACACCTGATGAAGAGGATTCTTGCCTATTATGAGATTTGGAATCTGTTCGAATTGCCATCATCTGTTTTTTACGGGTAATTGGTGCCTAAACAATAATTTGAAAATATAATATTGAATTAAACACGTCAAATGGATCACTGAGAACATTATACAGCTTCATGACTGCAAACAATATCTTAAAGGTCTCTTTGGTGAAATTATTACATGATTATTGTGAAGTACTTAATGCAATTAACATTTTACATCCAACTGATTGAACTTACTGATAACACAGTTTCAAATTCATATTTTCTTTGACAGTCAACAAGGTTGTCCAACAGAAATTGACCCTAAAAACAACCAGCCAGCCAGTTAAGCTACCTTTTCTAACAGTACTGCTTTTTTACTGCATAATCAAATTGTTATGAATATTATGCCTTACTTTGATTGTATTTTCAGTGAACAAAAATCCAGTATAAAATTTCTGATCAGTCTGAGTGCATGATATAAGTGCTGCCAAGGCATTATACGCATAGCAATGAAGCTGCCTGCGTAGATCAAGYAAAACTGTTTCTCCACACATGTTCTCACTTTTTACTGAATGCGCACACCTGCAATATCAAAAATGTATTTAGCTTTGATCAAAAATATGATTGCAAAACAGCATCTCTGCACAATGGCTGTTTTAGCATATTTCTAAAAAAAATGTTTCCTTAATGAGGTTAATTAACATAAAACTCTTGGAAGTCCATCAAGTGACAATAAATTGAATTAATGACTTACTTTGTGATAGCCATTGTTAACTCTTTACCAGTCTTAGCRTCCACACAGTATGCTCGATTAATAACAGACTGTGGATTGTTTATTTCCTCTTTGTTCAGTCGAGTATACAGAACTTCAATAAGTTTAAAACAGCACAGTTTGGATATGAGCTGATCTTCAAACACTGGGTCACTTGGCTTAAATACAAAAAACAAAAAACAAAACAAAAAACTCATCACTTTATTATGCAGCTCTCAAAACACCAAATTTTAGATTCAACCTCAAAATACAACAAGAAATCATTAATATATTAATAATATCATTAATATATTAATATAATACCAATAAAATACTTGCCTTAAGAGCCTTTGCTTCTACAATACCCATGATTGTTTTWATGTGAAAACTGAAAAAGTCCAGTAGTGTTTTCTTGGAAGTYTGGCAGAGCAATGGYACACACATGCGCATTGCTGCTGAGCGGCGTGTCTGGTTGAGGTGATCACGMTCATTGACAAAAACCTCAAAGCAAACATCAATGGCTTGTTTGGCTTGGAMTGGAGATGGATGTAGTCTGTGAAAAAATAATGARGACATCCATTCTTTAGGATTTTTTTAAAAAGCTTCATGGATAAGATTCTAATGCTGTTCTAACACGTTTGGGTTTTTGTGTATAGTGTTAAACTCAACTTAACATACTTTCAGAGTGTATTTTCCTATCAATCAATAAATTTATATTTTTTTTTGAGGTACCATTACCCACACAATATTTAACACTAGCAAAATCACTAATATCTACATCATCTACCTTGTTATAAATGCCACAAGGGCTGACTGGATTTCATCTTCATAAATGTGGACTTCCTCTCGGCACATTATGCTCGTCAAGAGTTTCAAAAGAAGCAAACTTCCAGAAGAAATTAAAGCTGTAAGAATCTGTATATCAATAGAACAAAGATAAAAAGATAACATTAACACTTCAACAAATCCGATATAACGCTAGGAAAAAGAGTCTCAATAAAATGCTATGTTTTCGAAACAAGGACTACTTTTATATCAATCAAGTATTAAGTTATATATTGTTGGTTTGTTACCTTATCAAAAGCTGAAATGTAGTCATTGTAGTTTGGACTGCCAACTATAAATTCATCAGATCTCAGAGGAAAACAGGTTGCCACCATTGTATCAAGGGCAGACCTAAGGAACATAATAATCAAAGACCATTTATCAGATTGATGAAATTATGGAATTTAGAGTGATTAGTTGTAAGTGATGCAAATTCACATACTTCAGAGAAGAAAGGTGATTTTCTGGCATTCTTGTGAAATATGGTAGGAGTTCAAGACCACGACTCTAAAACAAATCAATACAATCAACATTATCACAAAACTCAGCCAACTAATTCAAACTATTTAGTTAGGACAGATATTCCTTATTATATTGCAACAAAGTGGCATGGACACATCACCCATACCATGCAAATGAAAGCAGAGAGGATGATGTCACCCTTGAAGAAAGTACATGTGCTGGAGTGATGCAGTGCCAAAGAGACCTCTCTTTCCATGAGGTGACATTAGCAGCAAAAGACAGCTTTTATGTCTGGCACCATGTGAGCCCAGTCCATGGCAGCTATACTTATTGCCCATGGAAACTCACCTTAAAAGCTAGGGGAAAGGATTTGTCAGTCAAAAGCGAGGAGTACATTTTAAGGACAGCCTCAAAACCAGAGCTTCTTGCTTCAGATAAAAACTAAGAAAACAAAATAAAGACACACAGTGTAAGAAGCAAATGATTTTGCAATTATAATCATGATAGCTTACATTTGAGTCAAGAACAAGAACTTTTCTCAGGAGTTCCAGCAATGAATATTTCAAGTCAATTGAGTTTGAAGATGTCCACAAGTTAAGGATAGAACTCCATGACTTCAGAACACATGCCACTGTACTGGAAGCATACCTAGAAAACCCATCAATATGACAACAATAATTGCAGAAAATTTAAATAAGTGATTGAAGTAATGATTATGCTAATTAGCAGTCCATCTAGTGAAAATTGCTATTAACAATAGAAAAACTCAATATAACAATGAAGACAAGTCCTTTTGTTACCTGCCACGAAGTGTCTTCTCTTGTTGAACTTGTTCCATTATAGCATTAAGAATTGTACACACCTATATCAGTAAACATTTAGGCTATTTACACTAGGTCAAACAACCACAACTACTACAACTACAACATCTAATTATGGTTTTCAAGTACTCAAAAACGTCCATTTTTAACACATAATATTCAACCAACTATAGATTATGTAAAATTATGTATGTTTTTGTACATACCAGTTTTGAATGCTTTGTGCAGAGCTTTACCAAACTTGAGATATTTGATTTATTTTTGACAAAATAAATATTGAGAACAGAGCTGAATGTTCTATAGAATGTAATTCCAAACTCTGATTTGTCTAAACAAAAAAGTAATTTTCATGAGTATCAAAATGAAAGAATATTTGTAGATTTTTTTCACATAACAGACAGAAAGAAAAAACCTTTACCAGCACTTGATGGTGATTCCAGGATGCACATTTCTAAAGTCCCATCCTAACAAAATAATTAAAAACTTATACTTAGGTTAAATAAATGAGTTGAAGAGGCATAGAAAGTGAAAGTGGTAATACTCCTAATGTTCCTGACCTGCAAACCTAGAAGCAATGAAAACTCTAAGAGCTTCAAAGCTAGTTGTTGAGAAGCCGGTGTAAGAAGAATATTGTCAGTATTGCTCAYGCTTGCTGTTTGGATACTACTGTAGACWGACTTAAAGATTCTTGTTCCACATGTCTTAGCAGACAATTTATCATCATGACTCTAAGAATTCAAAACAAAAATGAATGTTTTTCAGTCAAACTATAACAGTATTTCAATGTAATAGAAAACTTGCATTCACCTGTGCTTTTAAAGCATCAATAAGTAGGCCAGCCTCTAATAACTGCTGGTAGCCATTCACTAGATGAGTCAGATGTAAGTGATCAATGTTATATTCTTCGCAGCCTGACAAAGGAATTGGTAGTTGTTCTAGTAGATTACAATGACTGAAAGAGGAACGAAAAACATTACATGAATATTGYGCTGTTTTGTGTACTGTTTCTKTGAAAGAGAGGAAGGGTAAAACTATGGATAATACACCAAACCCAATACTATCTATCCTTTCATGWTAAACAAATCCTTGTTATTTTACCTTCCCAGAGAAAGCTTTCTGACCAAACAATCTTTAAACAATGATAATGAAGTACTTGGCAGCCAGTTCTTCAGAGCAATACAAACACCTTTTGTCTGRAAAGKTTAGAWAATACACCTTAWATGMCTTATGGAATGCATACACTATACTTGTTWCATCAAAGCTGTTACCTGGTCTGGYAGATTCTCAATRACYTCAACATCWCCAACATTAAAACCAACAGCTGCTGGTTCYAAAATACAGCTGAGTAGAGTATTGAAAAARTGCTCACTCCAAAACTCAGCAGGAACATACTTGACAAAGAATAAAATATTAGTACAGTTCAGCAACACCTTTATGAAACTTTAACTAACTTTTATAACGAAATCAACTTTGACTTTATTCAGTTGCAGATGAAAACAAATTGTCTTAATTTACAATCAATACCTTTAAAGCTTCCTGAGCATGAGCTTGAAGAAGAACAGTTAAGAAGTTCATTGTTCTTACAATAACAGTGCATTTTGCTCTAAAGTCAAAGTAAAGGTAATTAGGTTACAATATTAATTATATCATCTTTCAAGAGGTGCTACAGTAAATAAAAAATACAGTCCGTGCTTCAATTGAAATTATATCAACAAGTGAAGATATAATACCTGTTGTACTTATCAATTTCTTTAGGGCTAAAAATATTATTTCCCTGATCTCCTTGACTGGTACTTTCAAAGCAGTCACTAGCTGCTTGAATCCCAAACATGGCAAGGTCGGACAAGAAGTGTTGTAGAGACGTGAAGAGTTTRCTTGTGTACTTGGAGTCAGGTAACGAACCTAGGCAATGCACATTGAACAGTTACTAATAATAAATAAATAAATAATTGATTGAAATGGTTGTCTATAAATCATGTATTTATGCCAATGTGAACCATTACAATTTAATCAATATCCATACCATCAAAAACATCTTTTGGTGATAGAAGCTGTTCTCCCAATGCCCATGTATAGCAGTCAAGAGAGGCAAGAAGGAAGCCATACCACAGTAAAGCATCTTTCAAAGAAAACGCACAACCCATGTCTTTAAGAGTTGGAAATGCAAGGATACCATTYTTGCCACCACCACCTCCCTCGAATCTACAATGTAATCATGACATTGTATCATTTAATACTGAAAGTTAATAATATTTTTAATGATAAAAACTTTTAAAAGAAATAATGCTACCTATAAACAAAATAGGAGGGCCTCTCTTTATGTGTTTCTTTCATCCAAAATGAAGCAGATGCAGTTCCTACAAGACAACTTGTAAATAAGAGGTAAAGCCACAGACTAATGAACTGTTTGATAAAGAAATGCAATGAATATAGTAGCAGTAAATCTACCTCAGGGCACTGATTAACAGCTGAAAACAGTAGCTGCAGGACACAATAATTTATGTACTAAATAAATGTCCTGATGCTACTAGTATTCCTATGTCATCAGGAGATTTTTATGCCATGTTTCATGACCATTTTTTCTTGACTCTCTATCCTACCTGGCAGTAATGGAGCAAACTGACACACAAGTCGCATACATTGATGTCTACATTCCGTCTGAGGTTTTCCACATTGTTTGATTAGCCAAGGTAGCATGTGACTCAAAGTCATGCAATTTCCACTGTCTTCAACTCCCTTTAAACCCCTGAAAATATTGATGAATGGTGAATATGAAAAATAAGAATAACTGTATTGCTTCATAATATCAAAAAGATTTCTCCACTACATCGCATATTTCTCCACTACATCGCATATTTCTCCACTACATAGCATATTTCTCCACTACATAGCATATTTCTCCACTACATAGCATATTTCTCCACTACATAGCATGTTGCTCACTGATGAACTGCCCACATCAACCCTTTGCAAAACTCTCACGAACACCTATTTATAAATATCTAAATCTCAGAAAATAACATCATTAGAGGGCACGGGTTACATGAAAATGAAGACAACTATTTTCACACACATTAGCAGAAAATGTTACCTGGGTACTCTCCTACGAGGATTTTCCTTGTTCAGCGAGGCAGCCTTCACTTTGATTATTCTCTCTAAGTGTGCTATAACCTGCTTGCACTGTTCTTGAGTCCCTAGAAATACAAGGAACATTTAGCTGAATATMACTGGGTGATTGCAMTAGCTTRGTAAGTGCACACCTTGCGCTTGTTCATCCCCATGAGCCATTGCTARACTTTCTAAATAGTTGACCAGGATTTCAAGAACAAATATGTCAACAAGAGAWGACTCCTCTCTGAAATAAAAGTGGAAATATTTTATAGCATGCATACTACAGTAATTCTAACCTCTCTTATAGACACATCAGGGCAATATAAACATCTCTATGCTACATGTATGTAAACCTTAATAAACCAACATCTGCATGCATTTGTAATCAAGATGAGAAGTATAGTCCACAGCTAAATGTATGAACAGACACTTTATAAATTCATATTTTTCACACTAATACATCTATAAAACAATTCAAATAATTYAGGCAAAAGATCTATTTTCTTGGTTTAGAACCATTTTCACAAAAGATTGAATTTAAAAATGGAATGATAAGTCATAATTTTCAGTGTTCTTCCTCCAAAAATACCAGCTGCTATTAACTGTAACTTCTTTCTTAAGCAAACAGTYTCCAGTGAATGGCTTTAAATCAAGAATATCAAACCTGACATGAAATGACACCATACTGTGGATTTTCCAGATGACAATTCATTACCTGAACACTGTGTAAATGTTATTAAAAGCTAAAGCTGCGCCAAGTCGTTTTGAAGAGCTTGGATGTGAAGCCAGGCTGTACAACCGCTTTAATAAGGACTTGATATTGTAAGGGCTTTTAGACAAATTCTATGAAATACAAGTAGTAGAAAAGGACTCATTAAGCACATGACGACAATTTGCACAAGTAGAAAGATTTTCACTAGACAAACCGTTTGTGTTGTTTGTTTGATGGACCAACGGACAAATTCACAAAGCCATTGGGCAGTAAAGTCTCTTAGTGCTGTATCAGTAGGGTGAACTACACCATCCTGAATAGATAGAAAATATATCAGACACAACTTGGGCTTCCTTTGGAATGGACATATTAATCCTATTATGGAAGCCCATAACCAGTAAAAGTAATGTCTAAAAGAGAGGATATATTGCAGACACAAGATAAATTACATCTTCTTGTAAAAACTTGTAGCTTACCAAAAGTGCCTCCAGTAAAGCCATAGTCTCAGGGCTCTCATACTTTCTATTGTTAGTAAACCAATGAATCAACTGGGACACAAGAGGTTGAAAAAGCTGCTTTGCTACCTAAAAACAGACAATTTAAACATCAATTGGCAAACAAGATTATAGTGATTGAAGAGATACATACCATTTCTACATCACATGCTAACCGGAGGACAGCAGGAATGATTTTCTTCCATAGTTTCTCCATTGGACTCTTTATTAAACCAAAAAATTATTTGACTATTACACTAACAAAATAACTTTATCTATAAATCTTAAGGATAATGTTAATAATGTTAAGCAGAGAGACCAGACCCAAGTAAATAATTTTACAATACATACAATGTAAAACAATCATGCAATATTAAAACTCAAACCATAGTTAATAACTATGCTCAAACAACAACAATTTTTGGATTTTTAATCACTGCTTTAATCAAATAATTAATCTAGAGACTAACATGAAGTGGAACTCACACTTACTTTGGAATTTCCACCTGGCTGAGTAACTCCTTTTCCCAAAATAAATAACACCAAAGAATGAAGAAGTTCACATGCAGCAACCTAGATAATACATGTACGTAGAGAGTGCTATATCAATATAATCTATGATAAATAGCAGTCTGAAACTACAACTCTCTTTTAAAAACTACATGTACCTTGGTTTGCCGATCACAAGAGGTTGTGGCAAGCTCAACTACTCTTGGCAAAAAGGGATCTACAGCAGTCATCAATACAACTCGAGTAAGTAAATAAGTACAGATTCAACTTCCATGCATGCATGATGCTACTCAAGGTAAAAATTTTTTTTTTTTTTTCATTACCAAGATATATAGTGGGCTTCATGTCTTGGAAAGGTACAGCAAAGGATAGATGATTAACAGTGTCCCATGCTACTACACATGCAGGGTCAACAGCATTATCTGTCCCTAACAAGCACATGTTGACACACCCTCCTAGGCTACCAAGTAGATGCAACATCTGGTGACGTATTTTGACCAGCAGTCCATCTTTTGTCTAAGAAACAGACAACAAACTTGTGACAACTTGTAACACTTATTAGTAATAATATTAGCAATTAATAATCGTTATCATTAATTGGACTTTGTACCTCATCTTCCCCCTTTGATGAATTCARCAATTTCACAGAAATTTTTCTGCCYCTTGTTGTTCTTGAAGTCATGGTAACAGTCTTCTTGTTTTCGTCAATGGCCTTTTGCTCTCCTGAGTATGTTAATACATACAATTATATTTTAAGTGGTCCAAGCTAGATTAAATCATGTAATCCATGAGAAATACCCAACCTGTTTCACTAATACTCTTCAAGTACCCATCAAAGCATGGCAGAATANTCTCTCTAAGTGTGCTATAACCTGCTTGCACTGTTCTTGAGTCCCTAGAAATACAAGGAACATTTAGCTGAATATAACTGGGTGATTGCAATAGCTTAGTAAGTGCACACCTTGCGCTTGTTCATCCCCATGAGCCATTGCTAGACTTTCTAAATAGTTGACCAGGATTTCAAGAACAAATATGTCAACAAGAGAAGACTCCTCTCTGAAATAAAAGTGGAAATATTTTATAGCATGCATACTACAGTAATTCTAACCTCTCTTATAGACACATCAGGGCAATATAAACATCTCTATGCTACATGTATGTAAACCTTAATAAACCAACATCTGCATGCATTTGTAATCAAGATGAGAAGTATAGTCCACAGCTAAATGTATAAACAGACACTTCATAAAATCTTTTTCATACTAATACATCTATAAAACAATTCAAATAATTTAGGCAAAAGATCTATTTTCTTGGTTTAGAACCATTTTCACAAAAGATTGAATTTAAAAATGGAATGATAAGTCATAATTTTCAGTGTTCTTCCTCCAAAAATACCAGCTGCTATTAACTGTAACTTCTTTCTTAAGCAAACAGTTTCCAGTGAATGGCTTTAAATCAAGAATATCAAACCTGACATGAAATGACACCATACTGTGGATTTTCCAGATGAYAATTCATTACCTGAACACTGTGTAAATGTTATTAAAAGCTAAAGCTGCGCCAAGTCGTTTTGAAGAGCTTGGATGTGAAGCCAGGCTGTACAACCGCTTTAATAAGGACTTGATATTGTAAGGGCTTTTAGACAAATTCTATGAAATACAAGTAGTAGAAAAGGACTCATTAAGCACATGACGACAATTTGCACAAGTAGAAAGATTTTCACCACTAGACAAACCGTTTGTGTTGTTTGTTTGATGGACCAACGGACAAATTCACAAAGCCATTGGGCAGTAAAGTCTCTTAGTGCTGTATCAGTAGGGTGAACTACACCATCCTGAATAGATAGAAAATATATCAGACACAACTTGGGCTTCCTTTGGAATGGACATATTAATCCTATTATGGAAGCCCATAACCAGTAAAAGTAATGTCTAAAAGAGAGGATATATTGCAGACACAAGATAAATTACATCTTCTTGTAAAAACTTGTAGCTTACCAAAAGTGCCTCCAGTAAAGCCATAGTCTCAGGGCTCTCATACTTTCTATTGTTAGTAAACCAATGAATCAACTGGGACACAAGAGGTTGAAAAAGCTGCTTTGCTACCTAAAAACATTTCGTGCAGACAAAAACATCAATTGGTAAATGAGATTATAGTGATTGAAGTTGCTTTCGCAAGAGATACATACCATTTCTACATCACATGCTAACCGGAGGACAGCAGGAATGATTTTCTTCCATAGTTTCTCCATTGGACTCTTTATTAAACCAAAAAATTATTTGACTATTACACTAACAAAATAACTTTATCTATAAATCTTAAGGATAATGTTAATAATGTTAAGCAGAGAGACCAGACCCAAGTAAATAATTTTACAATACATACAATGTAAAACAATCATGCAATATTAAAACTCAAACCATAGTTAATAACTATGCTCAAACAACAACAATTTTTGGATTTTTAATCACTGCTTTAATCAAATAATTAATCTAGAGACTAACATGAAGTGGAACTCACACTTACTTTGGAATTTCCACCTGGCTGAGTAACTCCTTTTCCCAAAATAAATAACACCAAAGAATGAAGAAGTTCACATGCAGCAACCTAGATAATACATGTACGTAGAGAGTGCTATATCAATATAATCTATGATAAATAGCAGTCTGAAACTACAACTCTCTTTTAAAAACTACATGTACCTTGGTTTGCCGATCACAAGAGGTTGTGGCAAGCTCAACTACTCTTGGCAAAAAGGGATCTACAGCAGTCATCAATACAACTCGAGTAAGTAAATAAGTACAGATTCAACTTCCATGCATGCATGATGCTACTCAAGGTAAAAATTTTTTTTTTTTTTTCATTACCAAGATATATAGTGGGCTTCATGTCTTGGAAAGGTACAGCAAAGGATAGATGATTAACAGTGTCCCATGCTACTACACATGCAGGGTCAACAGCATTATCTGTCCCTAACAAGCACATGTTGACACACCCTCCTAGGCTACCAAGTAGATGCAACATCTGGTGACGTATTTTGACCAGCAGTCCATCTTTTTTCTAAGAAACAGACAACGAACTTGTGACAACTTGTAACACTTATTAGTAATAATATTAGCAATTAATAATCGTTATCATTAATTGGACTTTGTACCTCATCTTCCCCCTTTGATGAATTCARCAATTTCACAGAAATTTTTCTGCCYCTTGTTGTTCTTGAAGTCATGGTAACAGTCTTCTTGTTTTCGTCACTGGCCTTTTGCTCTCCTGAATATGTTAATACATACAATTATATTTTAAGTGGTCCAAGCTAGATTAAATCATGTAATCCATGAGAAATACCCAACCTGTTTCACTAATACTCTTCAAGTACCCATCAAAGCATGGCAGAATATCTTTGAAATGAGGAGCTAGYACATCTCGAAGGTTTCTGATCCAAGACTCAAGTGTATCAAGACCGACTTGTGCCAGGGGAGGATAACTAAGACCAAGATGAAATGTTTGCTAATAAAGGAGAATATTTATTAACAAAATACATGGATAATATAACTAAAATAATGAAAAAGTGTCTGCAAGAAGAGTTTTCACAGACATCTAGCAATTAAAATATATCAACTGGTATCAACAGAATGAAATAATGTACATGATGTAGTTCAGTTTCTTTGCAGTCTGTCAAAACATGAAAGTATAGCGTACATCTTACAATACAGTACTTTTTAGTAGAAGTGCAGTCAATAATCACCTTCAGAGCCGGGACAATTTGAGATATTTCCATAACAACAATTTCATGAGGAAGRGACAAAACAAGTTCAAGACAAGAAGAGAGGAGATCATCCTTAAAYTGCTTCATTCTAACAAGCACCTATACAAGAAAAGTTACATTTTTAATATCATTTACTAACAACGTGATAATTGTACAATACATGTAGTTCCTCAAAATGCCAAAATACAGCAGTTTGTAACCATACAATCATTTAGTAGTACAGCCACCAGGAGCAAATTTTTATCATCAATTTTTGTAGGGCTTTCAAACCTCTTTTGTAAACTTTCTGAATAATATAAAGCAGTTTGTGCAATCGGAGAAATCTTGAAACTCAATATCCATATCATCAGTGGTTTTCTGGCTCTCATTTTTGATATCCTATCAAAAAAAGATGTCGTGTTTGAAAGATACCAGTAATACAACTGCAATGTTACTGTTTTATTCTGGAGTACCTTGAAATACTTCAGGTCTTTGCAAAGCTTCATACAGACTTGTAAGAGTTTGTAAAATCCACTGATTACTGGGAATCTAAACGTACACATAGGACAAAGACTTATCAGATTTATTGGCTATTTCCTAAAACTATAATAAAAATATGACCATCGCATGATTTAATCAAATAACACGTATTGTTACCCTCCTCACCTCTAACCTGCTCAAACCACACATATATAAATACAAACAATTTCAAAAAGTTCACTATTCCAGTTGCGTGTGAGTTCAGAATCTTCAATACACTGAAATCTAAGCAAACATACCTGCTTGACATAATGATGATATCCCTTCCAAACACGTAAATCCATTGCTCAAAAGAACTGATGCGACAACGTGGTAAAATAGCCCTATAACAATATAACAATGAGAATGAAACTTCTAATAAACAAGCAAATAATTATTGGTCATGTTATCAAAGGAAAAAAACTGGACTGGACTACAGTATAAAAGCTATTGAATATTTATAGTTTTATGAGGGTTTATAACAATTGACTTTACTTGCAAAACTCCACAAGGTTAATAAGAATTAATACATCTTTGTGCACTCTTGGTTGTAATCCAGCAACAGGGTCTGATGATGAAATGGCTTCGCTTTGTGCTGAAGAGTCCTGACCAGATTGACTCTGGTCATATGAAAAAAAAAAACAACAAAAAAACAGCACAGTTATCATAAGTTTACAACATTGAGATTTTAAAAGATAAATTCATGGAGTGTATGGTACATGTACATGGGAGTTTCCATACCTGAATGTTTGACTCATCTCCCTTATGAGATGTGAGGTCTAATTTATGAATTATCCGTAAAATAGCTTCAATTAGTTCATTGTAGATCATCTCATGTAAAGCTTGATGTTTCTCTGACTTGACAGCAGACATACTGGAATACTATAAAGACATGGAACATTGTTGCCGTTACTATTGTTTTTTACATAGAAGTCAAGGAATTTTGATTTGACAAATAAGTAGCTAAGATCCTACAATCTTAATCAAAATAAATGGAACACCCTACCCCCTTTCCCCACTGCAAGGTTACACACACATTACTTTCCTCATTCCTGGTGATTTTGTAGCAACTCATTGCCGAAGGGAGGAAGGTTGTAGAAATGCTATCATAGACAGTGTTTCGCACAATTTTGCAAAATATTGTAGCTCCTGCACTACACTGGCGTCATTTGTTTCTTATAATTCTACTTTTTTCTTCCTTCCTTCCTTCCTTGTTATTGTTTGTTATAATGGTTATCACACCCTAAATAAATGCAAACCTGTTTGTCCAGCAAATTCTCCCACAGGTAAAGAAAATCTTTGTAAGAGACGTTGGTCTTTGAAGGAATCATTCCTGCCTCATAGTCCATATCCGTATCCTAAAAAGCACAGATTTCATTTCTTCAATCAATGGCAAGTACAGTAAGTCTGGCAAGGAAATAGATTGCTTCCTACCTGCTCTATGAGAACTGGATGCGAACAGGTTCTTATCAGGCCATGGTACACTAAATATAATCAGAAAGACAAGGATCATCAGAAGGAAAAAAGAAATGAGGAAAAGAAATCGATTCAGGAAAGAAATGACTAAAAAAGAGATCAATTGAATTTTCTAATTTATTCTAAGCTGTCAATCTAGAGTCCAAGGAAAAATACCTACCAATTTGTGACAGTAGGTGCTTCAATACACTGCCTTTAGAGGATATATCGAACAGAAGCTTAACAATGGATTGGCAGCAAACATATCTGGCACCKTTGTTAAACTTAGGGAAGTTCTCAAATAGTATAATAGTTAATCTTTCAAGTGAGAAGCAGAATCCATCAGTGAGCTGTGTAAGAACACACATTAAGTTAATATCTGCCTAAACCATGACAACCACCTCAGTTTACCTCTCCCATACACAATACACACAGCAAACACATCTGAATGTAACCGTAAAATCTTACTTCATCAAGTTCTTCAATAATATAAGATAATGCTGCRATGTAGTTGGGAAGTTGGTTGACTCGATCCTCTTTTAATTCACCTTGGCTGTAAATCAAAAGGAAATGATGACTTGAAGGCAAATAAGTAGATGAGAAAAAAGCAAAAAAATAAAAAAGAGATATATTAACAGCATGGAGGCCAACCTGAGATAGATTTGCTCACTTCTTTGCATTATTTCAGTGAACATGAATTTCACATCCTCACTTTTCAAAAATAGTTTGCAACACTAGAGAAATGGATGTAAAAACAAAAAAAACAGTAAGTTGTAAGTGTATTATTTCGTCCGTTAGGATTTCATATCAAAGAAGATTCTAATACCTTAGCAAAATAGCCATAACCTTTTATTGCTACAGTTATCTGTTGTGTGTCACTTGAATTGGTATCAAGAATGCTTCTAAACATTTTTATAAAGTACTGCAAAATAACACACAAAGAATTAAGAGTGAATGACATGGAAGTCAGGATGTTGCCGCTTGTAAGCTGGGTAAATGGGAGGAATCCAGTGTATTCTGTTCAATTCATTATCTTCATTTTAAATTGCATTAACAATATAATGTATTATCACTATTACCTTAAAAATGTTCTTGCATTCAATTATTTTGTCACTATCTTGAGATGCTTTACTGTAGACATACTGGGAAACCTACAGTACACACAAAAGACAATTTTATTTTAATAATTATACATTATCAAATGGCTTTATCTTTATATCTTGAAGAAAGAAAAGACTTATTTGCACAGTAATAGCAGACACTCATGTGCCTGGCAACTGCATATCAGCCAGGGATACCATACTGGGAATGAATAAATAAATAAATGCAACATATAAGAACTCTCTTTTATACCTCTTTTAGGAATGAATCAATTGCTGCTAAACCAGCATATCTAACTTCTCTGTTTTGATGACAACACCAGCGGTAAAAGCTGTCATAMAAGGCCTGGAAATAAGTAGTGATCATTTTATGTTAAAGTATGCTTCAGTAAGATTTCCAGTAATTAAAAGCACTAATGACTTACTTGATAATCTTGGGCCATTAAATCAATAAGTTGGCCAGCATGTCTTGAAAAAAGGTTCAAACCAGCTATACATAAATCATAATTATTATATGATAAATTAATGACAAAATTATATTTTCACCATCATCAATCATCAATCATTATCATCAATCATCAGCCATCATCATTGATCATCATAGCACTGATCATCATCATCATCAATCATCAGTCATGAATCTGATCTATTTATAATAGATTAAAAAATAATTACATGTAATTACACTAGCTACACATTCATGGTATTATTTCTACCTTTTGGAACTTCATATCTAGACAACTCAACCTAGAGGAAAGGAAAATGGGAACTTAAGTCTTGCAAATTGTCCAATTAAAAAAAAATTGCAAGTATCTAGAGGTGAAAAGATGCATAACTTGAAATAATTAGTCATCAAAATATTTTCCTATCATTATCAATACTCATGACATACTGTACCTGTGGAGTGATAGCCATTCTTGTCAAACTGTAAACATCTTTAGCATATCGTGATCCTATGACACAAAAACAACAAAAACAAAAGTCAGCACTCACAAAAGTAATACACATTCGATTAATAGTAAACTTGTGATGCATTTTTGTTTTTTTTAAGTTGTAACTCTTTGTGTAAAAATTTAAGCATTATAGTCATTCTAGAAAGAATGTATCAACTTCCATGCATTCTACCATGATTATAACAACAATTACAATATGCAGTATTATGGGATATTACCTTCGTGGACAGTTTGTGTAAAGTTGACCAGTAGAGATGTCAAGCCTTTTAAGCAGCCACCAATCACAGTCATGTCAGGTTTCTTGGCCTTTTTGTTGATCATCTTATAAAAAATGATTGGATGGATAACAAAATTACATGTATTTGATAACAATTAATTATCATAACTCCAAAAATTTACATGGCTGCATCACAGCACTTTTTTATGAAAGGAAATGATGCATTAATGTAGATTATAGATTATCTCTTTTATTTATTCATTACCTCTGATTTTAGAATATTGACAAAAATTGACATYAATCTGTCTGAATGAGCAACCATATGTTCAGGAAACCTCTCTGCAAATATACCCATGGTGGTGTAGATCCAGTGCCGAACTAAGATAACATAAGAAAAAGTAACTACCCGGTACTTAAAGCCACTAATTATTGCAGATTTTTCAAAGTTGTGTCACCTGTTGACTGTTGCTTTGATGACTGCATACAAGAATTGAAATATCTTTGCTGTTTTAAGGATTAACAGAACAAGCATTTACATCAAACTATAGACTTAAAGTACTACTTGTAGTAACAAATTTTTTAGAGTCAGTCAAAACCAATGTTTTTGAGAGTGAAGTCTCAAAAGGAATTTGACAAAGTTCTACAAAAAGTTAAACAATTGTGTACAATTAATATTTTATCCTAATGCTATAGTAATTGGGTTTTATAGTTCCTTTCAAGGATACTTATCAATTAACTTTGGCAGCTCTAAATCCTCCACTACTGCCTGTTCAAGCTTTGTCTCTAAAAGCTGCAATAATATAAAACTTAAAGGGACACTGTCAATGGCACGCATGCGTGAGTAAACTTGAAAACATTAGGCTAATGTTTTCAAGTTTATGACTCCAAGTTGGCGCGACATAAATCAGCTCATAAATGTAAACAGATCTAGAATATTCCAAAGTGTGTCAAAGGCACCACAAAATGATTTACCACGAAGGTAATACTTTCAAAGTCCGTTAGAGGCGAGACTGTTACTGCGCATGTCATCCATTGACAGTGTCCCTTTAATAACATCTCATAATATTGCATTCAAGAACATCGCATGAGATAATTATTACCTGAATCAAAAGTGGGAATGTTTCCACTTTGACCTTACTTGTTTGTTCAAGTGAAAACATTTTGACACAAATATCCTGTAAATAGAAAAAAAGACTTAAATCTCATRTAATAACAAACTTGCACATTGCATTACCAAGGTGGCGATGTAATAGTGTGCCTTTGCTTTTCTATACAGTACTATTATTACAGAGGAATTTATAATTATGTTATTATGTTTCTGTAATCAAAAGAAGATTCATTATTATAATCACATAATTTATGAATATATGAAGTATTCAGGTCACCTTGAGATCTATTGCATATGGGTTCACAAAACTTTCCAGCTTTTGTACGTAGGACTTGAGAAACTTCAAAATTTCAGTTTTGCAGTCTGAGAACTAAATCATATCAAACAAATGTAATATAGTTAGAATTGTGTAGAGAAAGATTTTGATAAATGARGCATTAAGTGGACCAATTACTKTGAAAATGACAATCATTCAACAAGTTCATGGGTGATTCAAAGCTGAGATATTGTACCTCAGTATTTCCTACAGTACTGTGAAGAAAGGTGATAATCCCATTACTCTTGTTGAAAAGCACTGATGAACAGAATGCTGTAAATTCAAAATAAATAATATACTATTCAAGTACAGACATACATCAAAACACATAAGTTAAGTATTTTAAGTCGATCGTCGCGCAATTCTTATCCCTAGTTTGTGTATCGTGTGTAAGATTAACAAGTTCTCCTCCTTTTTTGTTTTTCATTCTCTAAACATAAAAGCTTAAAGAGTTAAAGAGCCATGCATTAGACCATGTCCTTCAAATTCTCAAGGGATTCTTGATCATATGTTTGCARGCCAAGGAACAGCTTTGAGATCTCTTCCATGAAATGTGAAAKTCATAAATCTTCTAGAATGCTTCGCTACTATATAACGCAATAGCAAAAGGCTACAATTTCTTACCCAAGTCAGACGTGGAGACACTTTGCAAGCAAAATGTGCTCAAATCGACAGCAAGGTTGAGGCAGTCGATTCCACGATGCGGTGAATTCATGGGTAAGACATCGTGCATTCGACGCAGACATCGACTCACAGTGTCCACCATGATTGCTGGCCTGCACGCTAAAGCTATTATCCAGGAAAATAAATTTTATCATTCATTTCTGGTGTTCCCGCCAACAACTTCTGCACTGCACCAAAACATTGCCGCAGAGTAGGACTGGTGACTAGATTCTTTCACAGTCTCTCTCATCAAAATAGGCAACCCAATTATTATTATTTATTTTTTTTCATTTTATATCATTAAATAAAAAGAAATACTAAAGCAAAAAGTGATTCCTTCAAATTAAAGTTTTTCTTTCTCATGATAAGCCTAAAAATGTTTTTGCTTCAATATGTGAGAAACCTGTTTTCGGCATTCATGAGCCCGCGAGTGTCAACCGCTGACGACACCAAAAACGTGCATCAAAGGTTTACAAAAGTTGAGTTCCTAAAACACTTCTCCCAGTATCATAAAATTACACAATGCCTGAAATATCAGCAATTGAAGATGAGGTAATTTATACTTCTTTGATTTATAAGTAAAATTATCGTGACTCTCCTCTCAAAAACTGAAAATTTTCAGAACCTTGACGATGTCGAAGAAACAGTTCTTGAGAGAATCTTTGGCTTAWCAGAAATGTTTCCTGATGGCTTACGAAATGTAGTGTCTGCTACTACAGGATACACCGTTAGTGGAACAAAATGGATGTTYAACTTTACGGGCAAAGCACTYTGGATAGCTGGGACGTCTTTCATGATMCTYGCTCTTCCTGTAGTATTTGAGGTGGAGAGAGTACAGACAGAAGAAGCTCAACTGCAACAGCAACGACAGGTTTATAAAATTGCTAGAATTGTCAAATGCTAGTATTTTCTTTAACTTGATAATAGGAGCGCTGTTTAAATGCAATACTATCTCCTATAAGGATTACATAAGCCCAAAAAATCGGGGTAGAATTGTGGAATAATTCCCAGGGGAATTACTAGTATTGGGGTGATCTATAGTATGAAGATTGAATGGAAGAAACCGAATGGAAATACAGGGAAATAATAACAGACTATGAGCTGGCAAGCACAATAACCATTGAAGCTCAGAATTGAATGGTTAAAGCACCTTATAAAAAAATGCCCATCAAGGTTTGACTTTGTTTGTCTCCAATAAATTGAGTCTCCTTTGCAGCCTCCTCCTTTGTCGGGCTTCCTGTCCCTCTTTTGGGAGGGATAGGAAGCCCAACAAAAGGGGAGGCTGCGAAGAAGACTAATAAACTGACTGATTGTTGTTTACTTTCAGATATTGCTTGGACCAAATGCTTCTGGTGGATATCCAGGGCAGCAGCCTCAAATAAGAAGATAGTATTTACTTCCAATTAATTTTCTTTTTATAAAAATTATGYTTGTGTTCTTCTGTTTGTAATGGTGTATTGGAATGTGAATAAAAGGAATTATCAATTTTGTAGTGTATGTGGTATTACTGACAGAAAAGTCATTGACAGCCCACAAGTTCCAGCAATACATTTAAATAATTTTCTTCACAGATGGACCTTCTGTCCACACAATTTCTCTGATTTTCACAGGTAAGATCTGACTCTGATCCAGAATGGATTCAGGATGCATTTTGATAATGCAATAACACATGCTCTGTTGACATTCACCAGATATACATGATGCATGGATAGGAGCTCTCAACACTGGAGTAAATCTGGATAATTTGTCAGATAAAAGTGAACAGGTAAGTTCAATTTTAAGACAAGAAAAGGTTTTTAGATTCAAATGTATGAGTATGTCCATACACTAAAATTTTTAAAAGGGACGGGGTAAAATTGTGCTAGGGCATGAACTGAGGAAATGAGAAGCAGAAATACAACTTCTKATTATGTTGAAAAATCAACAAGCTTCTGCTCCACTTCCTTCTTATGTCAAAGTGTGAAGAGAGCAAGAACCACCAGATTTGTCATTAATATAACATTGCGTAAAAGTATATTTATTTTATAAACATATTTACAACTTGACAGTAACACATATGAGTATTTTAAATAATTCTCAAAACTAAGGTGTTTTTGAAATATTAGGGCTGCAAAAACATCCAGTTTGTGTAAATCTAAATACAAACATTTAAGCTTATATTAAACATATCTTAAACAGGTTTAGTATGGCTCAGTCAGTCAAGGATTGTCTTGATAACAATACTGTCTTGATCTAGTTAACATAAACTACTTTTTGCTGTCATAATTTAGTATTCCTTATACAATGTAGTAAACGTAGTCATCTGTCTGACAAAGCTGCCTACTCCAATAACTAAATACACATAATATATGTAYGTAGAATCTAGTTTTTCACACATATTAGTTGCTGTGAACACTCTAAAACAGCATTCTGCATGATGAAACACTCCTGGTAGCAGCATCCTTGATAGATACTGCACTGTCTTACTGGAGGTAGCTATTTTCAACTTTCTAGTTTATGCCATCTTCTCAGTGGCAGATCCAGGATTAGAGGCTGTGCGGTGGGCTTTTTTTTGTCAGAAATTCAAAAATATAGCCACATTAACAGACAATGACAAAAGTAGCTTTTCATGTGGTACCAACATTTGTTTTTGTTGTAGGGTTATGCTATTCAGATGACTTCACAGGCTTTAGACGGATGTGTGTATTAGTAGGGGACTAGTAAGATGTCTATGTGCCAAATGAAATTCCCTGGATCTGCCACTTCTTCTCTATTACTGCAGCCATTATGACATGGCATGGACATCCACAAGAAAAGTAAGTGCTGTCATCTCTGCATYTGCATACTTCTGGTTTTCTTTTGGTTTTGAAGTGTTTCCAGTTCCTTTTCTATCACATTACATTCAGCTGTTGTTGATGCAAGCTTGAATAAAAAATAATAATACAAAAATATAATTAGATAAGTGGCGTGTAAAAGCAACAACAATTGCACATCTGAAAAATAAGGCTTAGTTTTGTGACTCCAGATAGAACTAATATTGAATGCAAGAGTTTTTATCCAAAGAAGATCAGTGAGAAACTAAATAAGATAAACATKTCAAGCACTAACCATGTCAAGAAGGACTTCGACTTTATACTTGAGGAAGTTGTTTTCCTCTTTAAGTTGGTTGTTTTGCTTTTGTAGTTTACCAACTTCCAAACTTGTTTTYCCTCCGCCTCCGGTTGTAGCATCTGTRAAAARATACACAGAACTTTGAAATAAACGTATACAATTGTGCTATTAAATTTTAAAGCTTTTTTAACAATCTTTGAAAGAATCCCGAGAATCATAGAAAAACTCGAGTGAACTCAGAAGACTCACCAGAGTACCATTCTCCATCTTGAAAAATAAGCTCATTGCCACCAAGTTTTAGCTTYACCGATGGATCATTAGGATCCCCGGCTTCTGTTAAGCTAACATTCGACTTGAGAGCASTGGAAGAACCAGCCTCAAGCTTTCTGCGAGGAGATTTATGCTTCTTTCCAAACAACGGCATTTTGAACTTTTGATGATCGAAAATATGTTTGTAATAGGCGACCTGGCCTTCTCTTTCGTTCCCAGATCTCCTCAAAGCAGACAGACAGACAGACAATACAGATACAGCAACTTTAAGAAGTAAGTAGAAATGCAAACTGCGCTACAAAAAATATAACAAATAGAATAAAGGGATTTATAACATAGATAATAGTATAAATGCTCCGATTGGTCCAAGAACGTGATTTAATTTTCCGGTAATTGATGCTTGATTCTGAGACTGATAAAATCGGTATGMGCGCGATCAACCAATCAAAGAAAAGAGAGCAAAACTATAACCATTAAAACGACTCTTGTTAAAAAAAGACAACATCGTTTTGGAATRCCAGGGTCAGTGAACATTTTAAGTAAAGTGAGTAGGTAAAAGTTAATTATGAAAACGCACAGTCGGGCTGCACTAAGTAATTTCAATAAATAAACGTTTAATGTCAGCTTTCCTTGAGATAATTTTATATTCTATTTATATCGGGGAAATAGACCTTTTAGACTTTTAGACTTTTTTTAGAGTTTAAAAACTCTCTTTTTTTCTTTTTAGTACAAAAATCTGAATGGTAGTAGCAAAAAGTTTGAATTGATATTGTTTGCCACGATTCTCCCTGGGTACTGATTGTTACTAATTTTGAAGCCGTAAAGGCTCGTATAAGGCCGAAACGGCAAACCAACCTCTTTTTTACCGTACAGACCTTACGGTCTCAAAAATGCAAGAAAGGGCTAATATTCCAACCTCTGGTACCCAGGCTAATGCATTTTTGATTTTAGAAGATCCAGTTGAAACGACCCTTAATATGTTACTGTATTCTGAATCAGAATAATTGTTTATGTTAAAATATTGATAGCACTAGATCTCCATTAAATAAATTGCAATCAAATTCATATTCAATGACTGTAATGGCCTCCCAACCAATGTAGTTCATTCGAGTATTTTCCATTTAACTCAATGAGGACATAGGAAATGGCGAAAATACATCCTTTCGCCTTCCTTTAATGATTCTCATGACTTGTTATCTTAAGAAAAGGGAACAAAAATGATATAGAAATAAATCTAGATGAGTAGCGGTAGTTTTGTAATGCCAATTAATTGATTCTTAAAGAAAATATTGTTTTTCCAGTCGGCCAATTTTTTTTTTCTAAAAAATAATGCAATAATACACATGTGCGTCTGAAGTGACTCATGAAAAACAGCATTATTTTCGGTATTAACGTCGTACGGTGAATAATTGTTCTTTGAGTGTAAAATTAAACATTGCTGTCAGCGTTATCTTATTTCACTTTGTTATTTGGAAATTAAGTCGGCAACTCGTCAACCGCATAGTCATTTTTAAGACTTATAGCATTATTTATAGAACGAGCCGAATGTGTTGGCACAGTAAAAAGACCGCAAAGACAAAAGTCAACTATGAATAGCAGTGATATCAGAGTCTTTTCTGTCCAGTCTCTTTTTTGAAAGTCAAAAACCACACAGTGACAACGCATTGGAAAACTAGCGAGGTTAAGCAAGACAGATGTGCATGCCCATGTAGTTTTTTTATGGCAATTTGGTCCATTTCAGTTGCGGCAATTTCAGTTCCAATAGAACTACAAATGCATGGTAAGTGTAACACTTGCTCAATTGTAACTAGCAATGTTTTATATTTTATTTCGTGTATCTWKAAACTGAGTCGGTTGKAAAGCGATGTGYTTAGTGATATTGCGTGTTGTTGTGGAATCAAAACTCGAATTATTATTCACAAGTTTTCCGCATTTTATACATGAATTTTTCATCACAAGAAGTGGATTATGATATTGAAGACATGGAATTCTTTTATCCGTCTTGTCTGCCTTGAAGAGATGTTCACTGTATTGATAAGATTATACTTGCAGCAGTACTGATTTTCCCAATCTTGAGAACTTGSCGTTCTAGGTATTATTAAAAGCTGTCGATTAGAGAGAAAGTTTATATCAGGATGAATGTTCATTTTCATCATTCAATAGTTATTTRAGATTGTACCGCTAGTCAATAGTCGATGGATAAGACCACTGACATTCATCATACATTTATAGAGAGGGATCCTCTCCTTCATGAAGTTTCTTTTGTCTTCGAACATATGTAATGTATAGTGTGTCTTCTTCACTGTTGTAAAGCCAATACTAGCTGATAGCCCTCGCTATTTAATGAGGCCTCATATTGAACACTATGTTCAGATTTCATTGGATTCTCGTAGCTTCTATGGCTCTTGTACTGAAAGTTGGCTCCGAATAGCCCTCGCGAATCGATATATAATCTCTCAGGAGAACCTGTTTCAGAGGAAAACTAGTTCCTCTAGCCACTGGGCAGGTTATTTGAGTTAAAAAGAAAATTGAAATATGAAAACTGAGACAGCACCAGTCAAAATCTAATAACACCTTGGAATCTATTATACATAATTGAAGGTTTTTTCAGTTGTGCTATGTAGTCTTTTCAGCATAAATTGCGCAAAAAGTGTGCATCGTATCATCTTACTTACATATAAGCTTTTCGGCCGAAAAGGTTGTCSAATGAAATACTTGGGAATGCTTTACCGAAAAGATTTTGTTGGTAATTTCAATAGATATTCAATAATTTTCTGATAATATTAAGAATATAGTAGTAAATTGTCTTGATTATATTATGAAAAATCCTACCAAAAGTAACCTTTTCAATCGTTCATTCACAACCTTTACTTGCTCAATGCCTAAATATACTATTTGTCTGTAGACTCGGAAGCTTTTAAAAATCTCGTCCATATCTACACGTATTGATCCGGATATTATTAGCTTATAAGCATAACATCACGATATAATTACTGAAGAGACTGGATCCAATGTGATCCGGATTTGACCATGCATATTGCGGATTCTTAGATTATTCAAAGGAGATCGACTTAAAAGACTKCTTACATAAAATGCCTGTGGTAAAACTGTCAAAGTCATGATACACGATGACTTAAGTGCTTTTAATTTCCTTTTTGACAATATATTCGAAAATTAATGAATTCATTAGTTAAGAATAACCTCATCCATTTATTTTCGTCTTTTCTCATAAAGAACATTAGTCGTATTTGAAATTTTCAGTGTAATATACCGCTGTTTGTCTAATTTATCAAATATATGAGGCATAACGTGCGCTTTGATTGGCTGATAAGKGCTATGTTTCTTTCGCAAGATGTCAAGCGTACCCGCCTTTTTCCTCAATAAAAAAAAGAAATATATGGGCATCTATAAAAGATATAGGATAAACTAACGATATATAAAAACTCGGGCTGCGTTGGCGTTTTAAATGGAACAGCTGTAATAGCAAAAGTGTGTAGAAAAGGTATATATATTTTTTTTTGGAAGTTGGTTCTTTTAAGGCCAAAAGTTCAAAATGTCAATATTCAGCTGTCCCTCTTTTTATAGTATCAAAACTAGATATAGATTGGTCTCTTGTGCCCCCGTTTTCGTATATAAACATGCTACGCTCTTCGCTTCTTCTTATTTAAGAAAATTCAAAATGTCGTAAAAATTATTGGGGGGGCTGTAGCCCCCCAGCCACCCCGGCCCCCGCCCCCCTGCTCCGCGGTCCATGATTGCTAATCCACAGCTCAAACATGCCGCATTGTATTAGTAGAATTATGCCAACAATGCATCAATTAATCATACTTATAGTATATAAGGACTTTTCAACCGGTGGGGGCACATAAAGTATCTCATAGATTGTTTTTTTCTCAAGCCCAGACCTTTGCTATGACAGAACGTGCGCTAAATGAACTCTTGAAATTCTCGGGATTCTACTGCACTAAATTGTTATGAAAAAACTCGAAACCTGATTACTTCCTTTGAATTGCTTTTTTAATTTTCTTGCATATAAGGCCACTCAACGTAACGCCCCCCTCTTTGGAATCGATTCCAATAGGACCCTGCTGTTTAACTGCACTATTTTTATATATCGAATATAATATGATGAAATAAGTGCATGTTGTTAATGCACGCCCCTGCCACCCTTCACGAGTGTGTCACGTGATCAAACTCCGCTTCATAAACATGGTTCAAAACATCGTAGCTTAGCAAAAATAACTAACATCGCATGCAGTTGTAACAGTTTTTATCAGGAAAAACACTTATACATCCAGGCAAGTTACTGTGCCACAATATCAACTGTGATGTACTTGCAGAATTATGTAATAATTTGTCACCAGCTGGAAATATTTATTTTGTTTAATTTTGTAGTGTCAGTGTTGTCGTTTATTTTCGCTTTTCTTCACTTCAATTTCATTTCTTGTTCTTTCATGTTTTCTTCYATGTTATTTTTTAGTGTTTTATTGCTTTTTTTGTTGTCTCTTTCATGGAGTAGTAAAGTGATAGAAATATTATTTTCAGTCATCAGTGGATTTTCATATTGCTAGCTTATAGCTACATAATGATATACGAAGAAATTTCTGAAGCAGTCGTTCTAGGCACAACTACACAATTTTCCCTACATATTGTACTTCACTGCTAGTCTTGTATATACGACAGAATTCGTGATATTGAAACACACACTAAATAGTAATCTTGTGTTTATAAGCGTTTATATCTTGTTTAATGTTCTTTGGCACCGTTCTGGGCAATGAATATAAGTTAAATTTCGCAAATAAACTTTATCCACGAAGGCTTTAAATGACATCCGACATCTTGATACTTGTAGCAGTACCATGATGCACCTCGCCAACAAAACAGACACTACGTCATCAAGATGAGTTTTCCGAGACGATAGACTATCGCGTTAAGTTTTATTGTCATTCAAGTAAATATTCAAAGGCATCATCCCAGTGTGTGTAAACCTTTTAAAGTTGGACTACCACGTCATGAAAGGTTTTGACAGCATTTGACAGCTTCAACGTTACTTTMGTCTTAAAATATGTCAAACTTAAGAGACTACATTAACAAACTATAAACAACATAAAGAGCTGAAGAGATGCTATTTTCTTATATAATTTACGTAAGACTATCACTATAATGATATCAGGAACATACAATAAGTGATCATATTGATCAGCCAACGCTCTCTATAAAAATATAAAAACACTGATACATCATTTTGATGGTCGCCTCAGGGATTTTGTTCAAGCATAGGCGGATTTATATTTATAAAACTGTACTCATTGCCATAAKGTTGAAATTCGAAATAACTGCAAAKTAAGTTCATAACTTCAGGGTTTATTCACTAAGTATAAGCTTCTAAAGTTTGTGATTTTTGCCAATATTAGCGTTCAAAGATGCTGGATGATAAAAGCGYGAATTTACCGTCTTTATAAAAACTGCAGTTTTAAAATTGTATGGGGTAAAAATAATTTCACATGGGAAGCTCCAATTTTCGAGGACAGCTTTATTTTGTCATGTTATTTCTATGTTCAAGTGCCGATTTGATGAGTTGGGCAAAAACATGAAATGCTTCATATATGCAGAAGTACTTCTGTTATATGACAATTCACCCACGGGATTCACTTTAGTTAGGAAATCTGTCACTGAACCAGACGCTTTATCAAGTAAGTTCTCATACGATTTTTCCCCGCTTTATAGAGAAAAAGAACAAGAAAAAGAAGGATTTCATGTGAAATGAATCCTCCGATAACAACCTCTCCACCAAACGTTCAATTATCTCTTGGTCTTCAYGCTCTCGACCAACCAACCCAGGCATGGTACTGGGCGATAAGAGCGACGACCGGGTTTCTTACAGTTGTGAATAACATTCTAGTGTTGGTCGCGATATCGATGCGTCGAACGTTACGMCGACGAAAATCAAATTGGTTTGTGTTATCTTTGAGTCTTGCGGATTTGCTCGTTGGAGTTATCATCACATCAATCCAGATCTACGAGGCAGTAAAAAAATCAACAAATCCAGAACTACGGTTTATCGTGAACGATTTTTTGATTGACGCGTCTATACTAAGCTTGTGTACGTTGACTCTGGACCGGTATAAAGCTATAGTGAGTCCTTTAAGATACATTAATTACATGACACAGTTTCGCGCCACTACACTCATCATCGTGTCATGGGTCGTGCCTTTTCTGTTGGCACTTTTACGTACAGTAATGATYATYACKGGKATTAAGAACGAGAAAGAGCGAGAGAAAATGTTYCTTGTCATCCAAACACTTTTCTTTGTGATTTTGCCTTGTTTGACTTTAACTGGTTCCTATATTAGAATATTATTGATCGTTCGACGACACAGCAGAAAAGAAAAGAAGATCAAAGCACAAGTCGACTACAACTACTCAACAGATAGCACTTTCCAGTCWACTGAYGATGATTATCGACCTAATGACGTCATTAGCGGTCGGGGGGGTGTACGACGGCTCGCTTTGGARGATATCCAAGAGGATGAAGTTTCAGAAAGCACTGCTGCCAGAATCTTTTCCGGGATATTATCKCCAAAGCATGACAAGTCGTCTTTAGCAGCCATTGGAGTGGTGATCRTTTTATATGATTGTTYTTGGGGATTTGCCATCTATTCGTATATACTAGAGTCTTTTCTTGAATTAAGTGTGGAGCAAGACTTAAAACACATTATTTGGCTACTTGTTCTTATAAATTCAGCCTTAAATCCTTTGGTATATGCTATATTGAAGAGGGATATACGAAGGGCCATCAGTGACTTAGTTTTATGCTGTAAAGCCGCTGACAGCGACACGACTGCGGGCTGCCAGGAAATCAATATTGAAATCTCACACCCACCAGCGGAATTAAGTGTCATGACAACTCAAACACACCTGTAAATGAAAGATCACTGATACCTTTGTGCTTGGAATAAGACAATGATTTTGGTTCGCTAGGCATGCGCAATGCGTAGATAACACTTCAAATCGAACGAAAGATAGGGCAGCCATATTTGCTTACATAATAATCGAAGCTAATGAGAAATCTTTTGTTTTTGTGTGTACTAATATGGTCCACATAACGTCATGTGTAATTCAAGAATACGTTRCGTGAAATCAGTCTTGCGAACTGTTTCATTAAGACTTTAACTCGAGGCCGTGCCTCGAAATCTTCGTTAAAAACGCATTTTCTTACCATAWTAGGTAAAAGACATAGAGCGTAGTAGCGCTAAYGTTAACCGTCTTGAAACTTTGTAAATAAATATCCTGTCATCAAGTAGAATCAATCACAAAAAAAAATAATCACACATTTTTTCTCAGTTTCTAAATACAATCTTTAATAATTAATTCTTCACTATTTTGTATTTGTCAATTCGCAACCTAAACCGACTACTTGCGTTTTGCGTAAGGATCGTACGGTTTGTACGTTGCCTTAAATCCCTTGTAAAAACGATCGTTCTTCGAATTGCTGTAAAAATGAAGCCACATGTAGTTTTGGGTCTTGACGCTYCCAGATAGGGGCCTGGGACCTGACCATGATATCACCAGCGGGGCCGTAACCCAGGGACCTYGGGCGACCTCGAGTCGGTCGTATGCATTTTCGGAGCTAAACTCTGACATGGTTAACGCTATTTTTGTGTTGAGTACRCGTAYAAGCCACGTACAGCTTACGGAAGCTGGATAACCGTTAGGAAATCCTGGAGAACGTATTTCACCGGTTGGAGTGGTCAGCATTCCTCCACAATCTGCCAGTAGAAGATCATAATGGTTAGAATAAATTAAAAAATATGCACGGCTATATGTGTCGTACTTCTAGTCAATTCAAACATCATATGCTTTTGAATAATGCTTTTTTCCAAACGTCAAATCTTACATGTGTCTAATCAATGTCAATAAGATTGGAGTGATTGACATATGCCAGATTCGGACCCTGAAACCCTTCAAAATATCAAACCTTTCGCTTTTTTTAGCGTCTTGACACATGTAATAGCGGTCATTTTACCAAAGAAAGTTCATTGTCCAGCTTGTAATCCAACATGGCTGCATATCACGTGATAGAAATTCCTACCATTTTTCAATATTTGTTCATAGTTACCTGTCTGCTTGTACGTCAGCTTAAAGCCATTGTTAGAATTCAAACCATTAGAAATAAATCGTACTCGAAGTGAATTTCCTGATGACGTCATAGCACGTGGTTTGTCCTTGATACCGCTGAACGCAATCATGGGCTCAGTAGGCTTGGCTGTATCATAGATGTAGACTACRTCTTTGCCTGCCTCAGTGCGTAATTCTTGGAAATCGATGCGAACTTGTTTTCCTTTGGGAACTCGTATTTCCCATGTGCAGTACTCGTTGGAAGGATAGTTGTTGGGAAAGTTGGTTGATTGAATTGTTCCGCTTGGTCCATGAACAATTTGACCGCAATTAGATGCTGCAATATGGAAAATAATGAAACACAGTCTCATGTGAATACACTATAATGTCTACATATTTTCATTTTTTTAATGAGAAACTGTGCAAAGTACCCTAGTAATTATAGGTTGCATTACGACATATTGAAAATGGCCCAAAGACGGAGCTATAAGGCGAGTTAAGATAGCAAGCTTACCAACACATGAAGGTTGAGAACCAGACCAGGTACCAGTCTCTTGGCAATCTCTAGTTATCGAGCCACGCAGCTTAAAGCCTGGGTCACAGTCAAAAACCAWGGAGTTCCCGTATGTGAAGTCACTACCTATTCGATGACCATTCGCAGGTGTCCCTGGGTCGCCACAGTTCTTGACTGAGATTGAAACAACATATTAAGCCTTACAAAATGAAAATGGACTGGAAATGTGTGCGGGAAGTGTGCTTTTTCCACTACAGGAAACACACAATGACAARTTGATCCCAGTTGGAATAAATAATGACCATCGATAATATTAGAAAGTCATGATCTACTTGGAACATACTTTGACATGTTGGTTGTACTCCATCCCATAATCCCGTAGTTTGGCAAGTTCTTGTTGTGGAACCACGAAGATTGTATCCTTTACTACATGAAAATCTTACCGTGGCACCGTATGTATGGTTATTGCCAGACTTGTGGCCATGAGCTGGACTTCCTGGATCTCCACAAGAGTTTTCTATAAGAGATAAAAGATAAGTCTCAGTATTTTCTTTCAAAATTAGCAAGCGTGCGGTCCTTGCGCGGCCAGTTTTTGCAATACTTGCCAAGTAAGATTTATGAATCAATATTAAGTTCAGAAAAAACTTACCGAGGCATCTTGGTAAAGTTCCAGTCCATTTTCCATCAGCACCACAAACTCTCTTATTATCGCCTTCAAGAAAATGTTTAACGCGACATCGATAGGTGACTGTTTGGCCGTAAGTGAAATCTGCTCCAGCCAGGAAGCCATGCCAAGGCGTACCAGGATTTCCGCAACTGACAACTGTTAAATGACAATACGATTGACAACTATGAAATGAAAAAAGTGAAATAAAAATYAAAATGAATAAAAAGTGATAAAATCATTACTTTTACAAACTGGGTCAGATCCAGTCCATTTGTTATCAGATGCACAAGTCCTGAAAGCCCCATCATCTGGGGTTACGCGATAACCAGTAATACACGATACTCGAACAGTACTCCCGACTTCACGACGAATTCCTTCTATYGTGCCGTGACTTGGAGCCTTTAGGGAAGGACAGTCGGCACCTTGAATCAAAAGAACAAATAACTGTGAAGTTATATTATCAAGGGGTTCCCCCTGTCGTCTCTCTATTGCCCTTGGATATGTACCCCAGACCCCCTTCTAAAGAAAATCCGATAACCTGAATCCATGCAGGACCGGGAATGCTGATAATTCAATGCTGAATGAAGGTTTGTAGATTGTACTCGCTCTCATCATCTTAAGCCTAATTGGTACAGTACTGATCCAACCCTTGGTTCAGGGACTCTGAATTTTCCGGAATCACYTGACTTATTAACTTACGAACACATCTTGGTTGCTGGTGACTCCATTCTCCGTTTTGTTGACATGTTCTTGTGGTTGCTCCAACCAAATCGTAGCCTTGGTTACAGGAGAATGATGCTTTACTGTTATACGACTGGCCAGCGGTCACACTTACTCGACCATGCTTTAATGTACCAATAACAGGGCAACGAACAGCTACAAATGCATAGACAAGRTAATTGGATTGGTTGGAACCCTGCGCATGCGTTTTGCAGACCTACTCACCCTGGCATCGAGGCTCTGCCCCAGACCATTTACCGTCGGCTTGACACGTTCTGGAAGAAGGGCCAACGATCTTGTAACCAGGGGAGCATGATATKGTTAATACGTTTCCTAGGATACGATCACCATGGATACTTTGTTGACCGTTGGCAGGGGCAGAAGTCGAAGGGCACCGTTTCTCTAAATTCAAAAGACATTATTCCAAGATAATAAAATGCTCAATAACAAACTTAATAGGTCTCATCGTTATCTTTTTACCTGAGCATTGCTTTTTATTAGATTCAAGATAAAATCCTCCTCGACAATGACATGAACTAGTAAGATARCCATTGAAACATTCCTGCTCGCAACCATTATTACCAGTTGAACATTCATTCATATCTGCACAAAAATAATTCACATTTAAACTCATAATGGCGACGCGAACAAAGTAATCATATAATGTGTCATGTCGATACGAAACAAGTTCATCGACTAAATTCAAACATATATATATTATATATATAACACATACAGCCTTTTGCAAAAATTATGAGAATTGTCTAAATATCTAAATATCATAATATCCATATCCATATATTGTCTGGAACACGAGGGTTTGCTAGAATAATTCATTGTTGACATTGAGAAATTGTTCAGAACTACGGATAAGTCTGTCGACAAAAAAAAAAAAAACTACAAAGACAAGGGCCTAAGGGCATCGCACAGGATTACCCATCATACACTCGATATTATGATATTTAGGTATTTCAACAATTCTCATAATTTTTGCAAAAGGCTGTATTTATAAGAAGTATGGTATATACAGTATGGATAGATAGTAAAATTGAGTTTACCTTGACAAGAGCGKCCTCCAGGAGCGAGTTTCATTCCAGATGGACAACTACACCTGAACCCACCAGCGGTATTATAACAAGTATGACTACATATACCAGCCATAGAACACTCGTTGATGTCTGATGACCRCARAAATGTATTCAAATGATWAGCAATGCATCAACTAATAATTATGACATCGTTTTCTCAAAATTTTTGATTGCCAAGGTCACGTTTGTGTGCCCTACCATCACATCTTTTTCCATCGGCATTCATCTTGTAGCCTTTGTGGCATGCGCATTTGTAGCTTCCATCAGTATTTCTGCAGTTTTGCGAGCAATGCCCTTGTGAGCATTCATCAATGTCTGAAATCATATATCATAATAAAAATTATATTCTGCTTAGATAAGATAAAAAATAAATTTTATTGAAAATTCTAAATAGATTACAAACACATGATAGGATGTAAAATGCGTCTAAGTCTATATGGTGTCACAACATTTTTGTTAAGTCGTGGATTAGTTGTCACAACAAAACATGCGCGTCGGTTAAGTCGTGGATTAGTCAAACAGTTCTGACCTAAGCATTGAGGTGCTGTTCCACTCCATTTCCCTCGGTTGCATGTCCGTGTTGACGAGCCTTGTAATTGATAACCAGTACTACAGGTGAATGTTACCCTGCTACCGTGTGARAAAGACGACGATGAYCGCTGACCGTTAGGAGGTGTACCAGGATCCGYACAAGGAGACTCTTATTGAGAAAGAAAATTCAATTAAAGCACAGGGAACTGTTTATAGGGTAATGATTCTTTTGATTATAATTCGCTTTACCAATTAATTATACCATYATAACGAGAATAGACGAGTTCCGAGATGCGAGCGCGCTTTAAATAACATCGCAAGCACAGCAAATTGCAAGAAATCAAAGATTYTTTGTCTTAAAAAAGATTCTGAACGCTGCCCAGAAATACGCGCCTGCGATATCTATTGAGAGCGGCTGCATATCTCTCGGAAGTCGTATGTTGTGCCAACCTGTTTGGCAATTGTTTCCTTGGTAACCAGGAACACAAAGACATCGGTATCCGTGCAGCAGGTTAATACAAGTCCCTCCATTCGAACAATGGTTTGTAGTACACTGGGCTTTGATAAGATTCAAAGAACATCATTTAGCTTACAAGTTATAGTGGCATGCAACTATGGTTAAAACCACTGCAAAGCTCAATATAAGCGTGAATTGCACGTAAAATGTCATGTAATAATTATGGCTATAAAAGCTGTATGTATTTTGAGATTTTTGCAAGCTTACAAAAGGCTATTGAACCATACATGCATTCCATGCTTATTGAGATCAAAACTCAATCTCGTTCCCATGTCCTTAACCCTTCATAGGAAAAGAGCCTGGGAACGAGGTTGCTCAAGTAAAATGATTGACATATCAACGTGTCCAGTGGGTCAATGATTGTTGTTATCACTCCACGACGACAAGCACGGTTTACCAGAAACTGCAGAAAGAGAGAGCGGTACATCAGTAGAAACTATGCTMGGTCCTTGTTTTCGTTGTTTTTCTACAAATTTCGTCCACGAAGGCTTTGTGCTCCTTGCAAGCGCAGCCAAGGCCAGAGACCCACGATAATCTTTCAACATTGAAGTTGGTGCTCCCAGTCTGATCAGTTGTTGAAYAAGACTTTCCGTCACTTTCATCCAACCTTCGTCTTGGATGGCAACTAATATGATTTGACTATCGAAGAAAGGATTTAGGTAAGCGAACAGTATGCTATTTTCAACGATCTAACTATCAATTAATCATTAATTTATTGATTGTCAGTGAGAAGTATGTATCAAAGTTTATCACTTAAGAATTGGAAAACAAAAACACTTAAAAAGCATCACTGAATTCAATATTCAAAACTTACTTTCCATTTAGAGATTTCAAAAAGCTGGCAGCTTTGTCCGATTCAGAKGTACTTGAATGAGTATCGAAAGAACGTTTACTGATCACGTGACCTGTAAYCACAAGTGGATTGATGATGTCATTAGAATAAGATCAYGTGATGTCACGATAAGGTTACAGTGCGCATGTCCRTTTTTATGTATACATACCGGAAGTACCGTCCACGACAACTATGTTAAAACCTCGTTGTTTTGGCGACTGTTCCTCTCCTTTAACCTTAATGTAAGCTTTTCCACAACCTCCGCCTTCGAGTTTCACAGGATCTTCACAGCCTTCGCTACGGATACTGACGTCTAGTGCTGGTAAAAGATGGGTCATGAAATATCAACACCTACTTTCTTCATTATTTTGTGTTATAAAATAAGGGCATAACACGTTTTTTAGGCTCATCAGAATATACATTAGTGGATTAAAAACAATTTACTGTTAATTTTGATTAAACTCTGTTTTTTACTATATTATACGAAGAATAAAGTGGGGAAAAAGTTTACCAAAATTGACGAGAGGTACTTTAACAGATAATATGCTAGGTCCTTTTTTTCGATGTTTCTCTACGCACTTCATCCATGAAGGGTTTGTGTTGCTAGAAGTGGTTGCCATGGCTAATGCACCACGGTAATCTTTTAACATGGGAGGGGTTGCTCCCAGCCTGATCAGTTGGTGAACAAGACCTGTTGTTGCTTTACCCCAACCTTCGTCTTGAATGGCAGCTAAAACAATTTCACTATTGAAGAAATGCGCAAAATGACTGCCAAGCGATAAGGTATCAAAGATTATCAACTGTGGACGCAAGCCCAACGTCAAACACGCAAGAATACTGATGTATAAAATGGATGGAAATTTTATCTAAAACTCACTTTCCTCCAAGAGATTTCAAAAGGTTAGCGGCTTTGTCTGACTCAGAAGTACTTCCATGGGTATCGAAAGAATGTGTATTGATCAGGTGACCTAGAAACAGAACAGACCTTATGACGTCACTCAAAACTGTTACAGAAAGA